TATGGTGTAACTTGATGGTCTAGTTTCATTTTTTAAATGTAGCTGTTCAGTTTTCCCAACACCATTTATTAAAGAGGCTGTCTTTATTCCACTGTATACTCTTGCCACCCTTGTCAAATATTAGTTGAGCATGTTGCCTTGGGTCCATTTCTGGATTCTCTGTTCTATTCCACTGGTCTATATGCCTGTTCTTGTGCAAGTACCAGGCTGTTTTGATTACAGTGGCTTTGTAGTATAACCTGAAATGTGGTAATGTGATCCCTCCAACTTTGTTCTTCTTTTTCAAGATTGCTGTGGTTATTCAAGGTCTTTTTTAGTTCCATATGAACTTTTGAAGTATTTGTTCTAGTTCTGTGAAGTATGTCGTTGGTATTTTAATGGGGATTTCATTGAATCTATAGATTGCTTTGGTAGTATGAACATTTTAATGATGTTAAATCTTTCAATCCATGAACGAGGTATTTGCTTCCACTTTTTTATATCTTCCTCTATTTCTGTTTTCAATGACCTGTAGTTTTCTGCAAATAAGTCCGTTATTTTTTTGGTTAAGTTTACTCCTAGGTATCTTAATTTTTTTGCCGCAATGGTAAATGGGATTGTTTTCTTAATTTCTTTTTCTGTGAGTTCATCATTGGTGTATAAGAATGGCATCAACTTCTTGATGTTAATTTTGTATCCTGCTATTTGCCAAATTCATTTATTAAGTCTAGTAAATTTTTCATGGAATCTTTGAGGTTTTCTATGTATAGTATCGTGTCATCTGCGAATAATGAAAGTTTCACTTCCTCCTTTCCAATTTGGATCCTTTTTATTTCTTCTTCCTGTCTGATTGCTATGGCTAAGACTTCCAGTACTATGTTAAATAGGAGTGGTGAAAGTGGACATCCCTGTCTTGTTCCTGTTCTTAAGGGAAATGCTTTTAGTTTCTGCCCATTGAGTTGGCTGTAGGTCTTTCATAAATGGCCTTTATGATGTTGAGATATGAGCCCTCTATTCCCACATTGCTGAGCATTTTTATCAGAAATGGAAGCTGGATTTCACTGAAGGCTTTTTTTTTTTTTTTGGCATCTATTGATAGGATCAGGTGGTTTTTATTCTTCATTTTGTTTACGTGGTGTATCACATTTATTGATTTGCGAATATTGTATCAGCCTTGCATCCCTGGGATGAATCCCACTTGGTCATGGTGAATAATTTTCTTGATGTGTTGCTGGATCTGATTTGCTAGTATTTTGTTCAGGATTTTGGTGTCTATGTTCATCAGGGATATTGGCCTGTAGTTTTCTTTCTTTGTAGTGTCTTTTTCTGGTTTTGGAATTAGAATTATGTTGGCTTCATAAAATGAGTTTGGAAGTCTTTCTTCTTCATGAATTTTTTGGAATAGTTTGAGGAGAATGGATGTTAGTTCTTCCTTCAATGTTCAGTAAAACTCCCCCATGAAGCCATCCGGGCCTGGGCTTTTGTTTGCTGGGAGAGTCTTGATTACATCTTCAATTTCTTTTCTTCTTATTGGTCTGTTCAAATTTTCTATCTCTTCCTGGTCCAGTTTTGGGAGACTATGTGTTTCTAGAAACTTGTCTATTTTGCTGAGATTGTCACATTTGTTGCCATATAATTGTTCATAGTAGTTGTTAATGATCTATTGTATTTCTGTGGGGTCAGTTGTTACTTCTCCTCTTTCATTTCTGATTTTGTGTATTTGGGTTCTCTCTTTGTTTCTTGGTGAGTCTAGCTAAGGGTCCATCAATCTTGTTTATTTTTTCAAAAAAACATCTCTTTGTTTCATCGATCCTTTGAATTGGTTTTAGGGTCTCTATGTCATTTATTTTTACTCTGATCTTTACTATTTCCTTCCTTCTACTTGCTCCGGGGTTTTCTTTTTGTTTGCTTTCTAGTTCTTTAAGTTGTGAGGTTAGGTACTCTATTAGAAATTTTTCTTGCTTCTTGAGGCAGGCCTGTAGTGCTATAAACTTCCCTCTCAGAACTGCTTTCACTGCATCCCATAGGTTTTGTGTTGTTGTGTGTTCATTTTCATTGGATTCCAGGAAGTTTTTCATTTCTTCCTTGATCTCCTCATTGACCTATTTGTTGTTTAATAACATGCTATTTAGCTTCCATGTGTTCAAATATCTTTGCATATTCTTGTTGCAGATGATTTCTAGTTTCATGCCATTGTTATCTGAGAAGATGCTTGATATGATTTCAATCTTTTTGAACTTGTAGAGACTTAGTTTGTGTTCTAACATGTTGTCTATTGTTGAGAATGTCCCATGTGCACTTGAGAAGAATGAATTCTGTAGTTTGGGGGCATAATTCTCTGTAGATATCTATTAAATCCATTTGGTCTAGTGCTTCATTTAGAGTTTGTGTTTTCTTGCTAATTTTTTGCCTAGAGGATCCACCCAGTGATGTCAGCGGGGTGTGGAAGTCTCCTGCTCTGATTGTATTCCTATCGATTTCTCCTTTGAAGTCTTCCAGAAGATGTTTAATATATTTTGGTGCTCCTATATTGGGTGCATATGTTTATCAAGGTTATATCTTCCCGTTAGATAGATCATTTGAATATTCAGTAGTGACCTTCTTTGTCTCTAGTTATGGTCTTCATTTTGAAATCTATTTTATCAGATTATGAGTATTTCTACCCCGTCTTTTTTTCCTTTCTGTTTGCCCTGAAGATTTTTTTCATCTCTTCGCTTTCAACCTATGTGAACCTTTTGTTGTGAGGTTGGTCTCTTGTAAACAACATATAGATGAGTCATGCTTTCTTATTCAATCACCTACTCTGTGTCTTTTTATGGGAGCATTAAATCCATTCACATTTAAGGTGATTATTGATATGTATTTTTTTATTACCATTTTGTTTAGTGTGGTTATATTTTTCTTCCTATTTCTCCTGCTAATTACAGCAGTCATTTTAACAGTTCTTGCAGTGCTGGTTTGGTGCTAATGTATTCCCTTAGCCTTTTTTTTTTTTTTTTTTTTCTGAAAAGCTCTTTATTTGACCTTCTGCTTTGAATGATAGCCTTGCTGGGTAGAGTAGTGTTGGATTCAGATCCTTTTTTTTCATGACCTTGATTACCTCATGCCATTCCCTTCTGACCTGTAGTGTTTCTGTTGAGAAGTCAGCTGAGAGCCTTATGGGGTTTCCTTTGTAGGTAACCTGTTGCTTCTCTCTTTTTGCTTTTAGGATTCTTTCTTTGTCTTTAATTTTTGGCAGTTTGATTACTATGTGTCTTGGTGTGGGCCTGTTTGGGTTCTTATTACTTGGGGCTCTCTGTGTTTCTTGAACTTGAATGCTTTCTTCCTTATCCAAATTAAGGAAGTTTTCTGTCACTATTTCTTCAAATATATTCTCTAACCCTTGCTCATTTTCTTCTTTTTCGAGGACTCTTATCATGCGAATGTTATTACATTTCCAGTTGTCCCACAGTTCTCTTAAACTGTCATCCTGTTTTTTTAATTGTCTCTTTCCTTTTGGTTTTCTGATTGGTTGATTTTTTTCTACCCTATCTTCTAATTCACTGATCCGGTCCTCAGCTTCCTCTACTCTGCTATTTAGACCTTCCAATGTGTTCTTTATTTCTGATATGTCATTCTTGATTTCTTCCTGGTGGTTTTTAATTTCCAACTGGTTGATTTTCAACATTTCTGTGTTTTTACTCATGATGCTTATGTCCTTACACATGCTGTTGAGCTTCCTCAAGATCATGGCTCTGAATTCTAGTTCTGTTAACTTGCTTAACTGCGCCTCACTTATCTCATCTTCAGTAGAGGTCTCTTGTTCTTTCATTTGGCTTTTGTTTCTGTGTTTCACCATTTTGGCTATCACAGTGGGCTTTGGAGCGTGATAAATATTTTCTGTTGGTGTTTTTATTCTTCTGTTTGTGGCTCCCTTTCCTGGGTTTGGAGGAGCCAGGGATGACCCATGTTATACACCACTGTCAAGTCTTACTTTCCTGGTTAAAGTTGATAGCCCAGGGAATGGTACAGTTATCCTCTAGCTTTTTGCCTGGAGGCTATCAGTAGAGGTTACCTGAAGAACCTTGGCTTCTCATTTGAATGAAAAACTCCCTCAGGTGCTCAGCATAAGAGGATTTCCCGAGGGTGGGGCAGTTGTTGTTTGTTAATGGGCCTCAATTAGCATTTTAATGGCCACAGGGTGGGATTGAATCTCCGAGGGAGGGGCAACCACCTATACCCAGAGCCCTGGGCAGGGGTAAGATGACCACAGTCCTGCATGGCTGCAACTCAGCAAAAGCTCTGAGCGCCCTCCAAATCCCGAGTAACCCCACACAGTTCTAGTCAAGTCTGCCCTCCCTCTGCCAGAGCCCAAGGTAAGTGGCTGCTGCTATTTTAGCCTCTGTCCCAGCTCTGTGCTGTGGAGCCACTTGGGAGTTTAACCCGAGGCCAGTGCTCACAGCTAAGGCCACTGCCGACTGTGGGCTCCCAGCCCCCACTCGCATCTCTGCAAGCCTACCGGGATTGAGTCAGTGTCCCTGGTTATGTTGTCCTTCAAGCTGCTTTTCTGTTGCCTTTTCCTGAGGATTTGTCTTTATTTTAGTTGTAATTCCAGTTTGTCCCTGGGAGATGGACTGTGTAGCTTCCATTCATTCCGCTGCCAGTGTGGAATCTCCCTGCCCCCACTTTCACCACACTGCTGTCTGTGTCCATTTCTCATGCATATATACATATAAGTTCTTATAATTCCCCTCCACACCCCTTTTTCCTCTGACGTTTGTCCGTCTGTTGCCTACATCCATGACTCTGGATCTATATATTTTTTCAAGTAACAAATGCCATTTTAATTGATCTATAGATAAAAACTACTCAGCAAGGTGAGTAACCATTTCTGCTTCTTAATCTGTTAGAGCTCTATCCTGGAGTGTTCAGTAAGAGGTTAATTTCATTTTGGTTCTACTTCACTTCATCCACTGTGTTAGAAAAACAAGGCATGATTATCAGTTTAGATGAAACCCATGGCTGGTAGCCAAATCCAGTCCCTACATTCCATATTTTTTCTTTAGTTCTTTTCCTTTGTTGATGTATGCTTTCATGGTGTCTTCCTTGGAAGTCCCTTTTAGCTCATTCAAGGCATCCCACTTGGCCTTTCCTTTGAGGTCCAACATCCCAGATCGTTCTGTATTTACATCACCCACAGTTGCTTGTTTGTAGCAGCTGTAGATGAACAACATCTCGTCATCTGCTGGCTTGGTCTTGAGATGCTTAACATCCTCAGCAGCTTTGTCAAACCCAGCCTGAAACATGCCTGTGGCAAAGGTTGCAAGAATTCTGGGGAGCAGGTGGAGGCAGCGAGGCGCAGGGAGAAGTGTTTTAATATATTTTGTTCATCAGCTTATTTTTTTCATTATATTCCACAAATAACTGAGATCATGTGATACTTGTCTTTCTCTGATTGGCTTATTTCACTTAGCATAATACTCTCCAGGTCCTTTCAAGGGATAAGAGATCTTTCTTTGTTACAGCTGCATAGTGTTCCATTGTGTAAATGTATCACAGCTTTTTTTTTTATCTACATCTGTTGATGGGCACTTGGGCTATTTCCAGATCATAGCAATTGTAAATAGTGCTGCTATGAACATAGCAATACATATATTCTTTCTGATTGGTGTTTCAGGCTTCTGAGGATATATTCCTAGAAGTTGGATCACTGGGTCAAATGGCAGTTCTATTTTTAATTTTTTAAGAAAACTCCATATTGTTTTTCATAGTGGCTGCACCAGTCTGCATTCCCACCAGCAGTGTATTAGAGTCCCCTTTTCTCCACATCCTCACCAGCACTTGTTTGATTATTTGTTGATGGCAGCCATTCAGGCAGGTGTGAGGTGATTCTTCATAATTGTCTTACCTGCATCTCTCTGATGATTAGTGACATTGAGCATTTTCTCATATGTCTCTTGTCCATTTGTATGTCTAGTTTGGATATGTGTCTATTCGGGTCCTCTGCCCAGTTTTTTTTTTAATCCTCACCTGAGGACATTTTTGATTTATCTTCAGGAGCGAGAGAGGGGGTAAGAGAGAGAGAGAAACATCGATGTAAAAGAAACACATTGAGTGCCTGCCACCCACATGACCCCAACTGGGGCTGTGGACAAACTGCAGCCAAGGTACATGCCCTTTGCAGGAACTGAACCTGGGACTCTCTGGTTCACAGGCCGATGCTCTAACCACTGAGAAAAACTGGCCAGGGCCTCTACCCCGTTTTTAATTGAATTGGTTGTCTTCTTTTGTTGAGGTGTATGAGCACTGTAGATATTTTGGGTATTAACCACTTATCTTATGAATAATCGGCAAATGTTTTCTTCCATAAATGGGTTCCCTTTTCATTTTGATGATGGCTTCCTTTGCTGTGCAGAAGCTTTTTAGTTTGATGTAGGTCCATTTATTAATATTTTCTTTTGTTTCTGTTGCCCTAGTTGATATATCAGTGAAAACTCTCATACATGTGATGTCTGAGATTTTGCTGCCTACATTTTCTTCTGGCATTTTTATGGTTTCATGAATTACATTTAAGTGTTTAATCATTGTGAGTTTATTTTTGTGTATGGTGTAAGTTGGTGGTCTCATTTCATTGCTATTTTGCATGTAGCTTTCCAAATTCCCAACATCATTTGATAAAGAGACTGTCTTCACTTCATTGTATGCTCTTGCTTCCTTTGTCAAATAGTAATTTAGCTTATTGTCTTAGATTGATTCCTGGGTTCCCTGTTCTGTTCCGTTGATTTATATGCCTGTTTTTGTGCCAGTACCAGGCTGTTTTGATTACAATGTCTTTGTATTATAACCTGATATTCAGAATTGTGACCCCTCCAGCTTTTTTCTTCTTTTTCAAGAGTGCTGTGGACATTCATGATATTTTTTGGTTCCATGTAAACTTTTGGTGTATTTGTGCTAGATCTCTAAAATATCCCATTGGTATTTTAATAAGGACTGCATTGAATCTATATATTGTTTGGGGTAGTATAGATATTTTAACAATGTTGATTCTTCCAATCCATGAACATGGTATATACTTCCATTTTTTATAACTTCCTCTATTTTTTTTTTTTTTAATGTTTTTTAGATTTCTGAGAACAGGTATTATACCTCCTTGGTTAAGTTAGCTCTTAGCTATCTTATATTTATTGCAGTGGCAAATGTGATTTTTTTTTTTTTTAGTTTCTCTTTCTTTGTGTTCATTATTGTGCATAAAAAAATGCCAACAATGTATAGATATTGATTTTGTATCCTACTACTTAGCCAAATTCATTTATTAAATCTGGAATTTCTTAAAATTAAATTATTAAGGATTTCTATGTAAAATATCTTATCATCTGCAAATAATGACAATTTCATTTCCTCCTTTCCAATTTGGATGCCTTTTATTTTTTTCTTCTTGTCTTATCTCTGTGGCTATGACTTCCAGTACTATGTTAAATTATAGGTCAAAAGCAGTTATCCCTATTGTGTTCCTTTTCTAAAGGGAGATGTTTTAGTGTTTTACCATTTAGTATGATGTTAGCAATGATTTTGTCATAAATGGCCTTTATTATGTGGAAGTATGATCCTTTTATTCCCACTTTGCTGAGCATTATCATTAAAAATGGGTGCTGGGTTTTTCAGCATCTATTATAATTTTATGACTTTTGTCTTCTTTTTTTTGTGTGTGTGGTATATCACATTTTTTGTTTTGTAAATGTTGTACCAACCTTGCATCCCAGGGATAAATCCCACATGGCCATGGTGTATTATTTTTTTAAATATAGTGCTGGATACTATTTGCTTATATTTTGTTGCAGAGCTTAGCATCTATGTTCATCAGACATTTTTATTTAATGTTTTTATGTGGTTTTGGGATTAGGATAATGCTGGCCTCATAAAAAGAGGTTGGAATTCTTCCTTCCTCTTGAATATTTTTGGAACAGTTTGAGGAGAATAGGTCTTAGTTCTTTGAATGTTTGGTAAAACGTCCCTGTGAAGCTATCTGGACCAGGGCTTTTGTTTGCTGGGAATTTATTGATTACTGCTTCTATTTTCTTAGTCGTTATTGATCTGTTCAGGTTTTCAGACTCTTCCCACTTGAGTTTCGAAGACTGTATGATCTTAAGAATTGGTTCATTTTGCCTAGGTTGTCAAATCTGTTGACATATAATTTTCATAGTATTTACCTACTATCATTAATATTTCTGTGGTGTCAGTTGTTACTTCACCTGTTTATTTTCTGATTTTATTAATTTGGGTTCTCTCTCTTTCTTTCTTGGTGAGTCTGGCTAAAGGTTGATTGATTAATCTTTTTTATCTTTTCAAAGAAGTGATTCTTGGTTTATGATATATTCTGGGTTTTTTAGTCTCTATGTCATTTATTTTCACTCTGATCTTTATTATTTTCTTCCTTCTACTAACTCTGGGTTTTTCTTTTTGTTTTATCTCTAATTCTTTAAGTTGTAGGTTTAGGTATTTTATTAGAATTTTTTCTTGTTCCTTGAGGTAGGCCTGTAATGCTATAAACTTCCCTCTCAGGACTGCTTTTGCTGTGTCCCATACATTTAGGGTAGTTATGTGTTCCTTTTCATTAGTTTCCAGGATTTAAAAAAAAAATTCTTTCTTAATCTTATTGGTAACCCATTCATTGTTTAATAACATGCTATTCATTCTCCATGTTTTGAATAATTTTGATTGTTTTTATTGTAATTAATTTCTACTTTCATGCCACTATGATTGAACAAGATGCTTAATATGATTTCATATTTTTGAACTTGTAGAGACTTAGTTTGTATCCTAATGTGTGGTCTATATTTGAGAATGTCCCATGTGCACTTGAGAAGAATGTATACTCTGCAGCTTTGGGATAAAATGTTCTGTAAATATCAATTAAATGCATCTGATTTAATGTGCCATTTATATTCTCTGTTTTTAGTTTTGTCATTTTTTTGTCTAGAAGATCTATTTAATGATGTCAGTGAAGTGTTAAAAGCCACTACTATGATGCATTGCTCTCAATCTTACCTTTGAAGTTCTTAAGAAAATTTAATATATGTTGGTGCTCCTATATTTGGTGCATATATGTTTACCAGATTCATATCCTTTTGTTCAATACATCCATCTAATATTATGTAGTGACCCTCTTTATCTCTTATTATGGCCCTCATTTTGAAGTATATTTTATCAAATATAAGTATTGCTACACCAGCTTTTTTTTTTTTCTTTTCCATTTGAATGGAAAATATTTTTTCCATCCCTTTCATCTTGTGTGATACTTTTGCTCTGTGGTGTGTCTCTTGTAGAGAGCATATATATCGGTCCTGCATTCAGCTACCCTATGTCTTTGATTGGTGCATTTAAGTCATTTATATTTAGGTTATTATTGATAGGTATTTATTTGTTGCTTTTTTTATTCTTTCTGCTGCCTGCCCCTCTTCTTCTTTTTCATGTAGCAGTCTGGTTATCATTTCTTGCAGTGCTGGTTTGGTGGCAATAAATTCCTTTAGCCTTTTTACTGTCTGAAAAGCTCTTTATTTCACCTTCAATTTTAAATGATAGCCTTGCTGGATAGATTAGTCTTGGATTCAAATACTTGTTTTTCATTTCAATGTGTACTTCAGGCCACTTCCTCTGGCTTGCAGTGTTTCTAGTGAGAAATTAGCTGACAGTCTAATGGAAACTTCCTTGTAAGTAAGTTTTCTTCTCTCTTTTGCTAACTTTAAGATTCATTCTTTGTCTTTAATGTTTGCCACTTTAATTATGATGTGTCTAGGTGTGGGTCTTTTTGGGTTCATCTTGTATGGGACTCTGTGATTCCTAGGTTTGTAAGAGTTTTTCCTTCACCAGGTTAGGGAATTTTTCTGTCATTATTTCTTGAAAAAATTTCTCTATTCCATTCCCTGATTCTTCTCTTTCTGGTATCCCTATGATACAAATGTCATTATATTTTATATTGTCCCAAAGCTCCCATAAACTCTCATCTTGCTGCTCTAATTAGATGCTTTTTCTACCTTGACTTCTAATTTGTGGATTTGGTCTTCAGCTTTTTCCGTTCTAGTATTAAACCCTTCCAAGCTATTTTTATATCAGCTGAGTCATTCTTCATTTCCACCTGATTTTTTTCTTTATTGATTTTAATAGAGAAAAAAAGAGGGAAAGAGAGATAGAAACATCGATGAGAAAATACATTGATTGGCCGCCTCCTGCATGCCTCTCACTGGGGGGTCAGGCACACAATCTGGGTGTGTGTCCTGACCAGGGATCGAACTGGCGACCTCCTGGTGCA